GGGGGGGGGGGGGACATCATGCGTTGAAAGATGTTCGCGCGGTGTCAGGCGTCGGCGCCACCCGCAGTCCGGCTAGGTGGTGTTTGGTGATGAACGAAACCGGGGGCGGAGGTTATGTGGGTGTTCTCCACCAACGCAAGAGGCGGAACAAGTGGGAAAATACCCCAGTAGCAATAGCAGACAGCCAGTTTCCCCATGTCGACGCTCTGCTATTTAGCTGGTTTGACACACCCATGAACACTCGTCACACCAACCCCGCAGTACTCCGCGGTGAACACGGGACCAAAATCCCGCACACACTCACCACGTAACCAACCGCACGAACACCCCACAGAAGCACCTTCCATCGACATGCTCAAAGCGAGTTCGTTCGGTTCATTCCATCCTTGAATAAAACGGGCTGCTGTAGAAATACATGTCTGTTCTATCCACGTTGCTTGGCCCAGACCCCGCGCACATGCATGCTACATTCAAGCCGTGTACCACTGAAACACTCCAATACACCAGTTCAAGCCCGTCATTTCTACAACAAGACATTGCGAGTACGACTACTTCCGGTGCCAACCAACGAAAGGTGACGACACTGGGCTTGTTCCCACACATGGATTCCGCTTCAAGCGGAGCGTGACGGGCAGCCTACCCCTCCTGCTTGACCATCGCTTCTCACCAAGATAAGCAGGCTGGAGAGGCCCACAGCACGAAATCGGTTCTTGTCCTGCGCGTGCATCCTGGACATTAAATTACGCTCCATTTCTGTGACATCACATTGAGTACGCCGAGCAAGAGTTCCGCCGCATCGCATTGTGTAGCATCGAGCGGGCGGACAGAGAGAAGGGCGCGAGGGGCCGGTTTGACTCAAGCATCAAAGCGAAGCGTCGGTGTGAGGGCTGGAGGGGACTAAAGCATCAAAATACCACCGTTGAAACCAGGAGGAAACCATTACGTAGCAATGAGAGGTGGGTACACTCCCGGCACATTCACGCTCTCGTCAAAACAAACTAGATGCTCTATTCACATTGCACTGGCATGGAGTGGTGGCCCGGGCACGGGGTTCTGTAGTAGCACGTGACACAAGCAATGCGCAGCAGCAGATACCACGTACAGCACAATGTTCGAGAGAAAAGTGATCCTCAGGGCAACGCATCACGATTGGCGGACAGAGGAGGAGTGCACGAGCCGAACCAATCATGCAACGCACAACACGTTGGCGCTACTGCTCGCAACCACCTCACGCCGGCACAGAGCCCACACACTTAGCAGCATGCAGTAGCAAAGCCCCCGAACGCCCGAGGCAATTGCAAAGGCGACAAAAGGTGCGGGCGCGCACACGGTGCCCAATCATCCATCCATCAACAATACGCACCGGCGTAGAGCTCTGAAACCTGATACGGCAGATCCCCCACAACCCCTGCTGCTCCAGATCCTGCGGAGCCCCCGTCGGCAGATCCCCCGCCCGTCGCCCCGGCCCCTCTTCCTCCGTTGCCAGCCCGCCTTGCCGCGGAGTCCCCGCCTGTCGCCGCCGCGGCCGCCCACCCTCGCTCTTTTATCATTCCCGAGGTATTACCCCCCCCGCTCCCTACGGAGCCCCCGTCGTTTTTCCCTCCCCCTCTTGGTGGTGCTCCGTCGGCAGACTTTCCGGCTTCCGCATCCCCTCTTCCCGCATCGGAAAGGCCTCTGCTGGTTCTTCCCCACGCGGTACCGGCTAGGTGTCGCTGCGGGTTGCAACTGGTAGGAGATAATCCCGCCGCCGCTGCGGCGGAAATTTTGTTCCGTTTCATTTCCTCGGAGCCAAATGCGCCGTGCTGCTGGGATGAACGCAGCGGTAAAGGCCGCACACGGTATTGTGCAGACAGGAGACGCGAGCTCTCGCCGAGCCCACCACCCCTACAGTACATACGAGCGATGAAGAATCGACGTCAAAGCGCCAGCGCGTGGGTAGGCTGGAAGGCCGAAAAAAAAGCAAGCGCATTGGCGTTCCTTCGTTCGGGAGGAGAGAAAATCGACCGCAAATAAGGGTCGTCATATAACGCTGTCGATGAATTGGATGGCACTACTGCTGTGTACGCGTACATGTGTCATGGAACAACACGCAGAGTCCCAATGACGTGCGGTGTGCGATGTCATCAACGTGGAACTCGACAATCAGACGCTGGGTCGTGGTTGCTTTCGGGCGAGATAATAGTACACCTTTCTAGCCAAGCCTCCGCACCTGCGGGCGCACACATCCACCCGGTGAGGGAGGAGGTGGGGGGGGGGACCAAGCGTGTACACAAGCGAGCACGAGGCAAGAAAATCGATGTGGCACATGCATATCACAGCACAACGGCACACGGCGGTGGTTCTCTCTGAAAAACAGCGGTGGCACCAGTGACCAATCACTTACGGGCGGCATGCGGACCACCGCTGAGAAAAGTTACAGGCTTCTGCACGTGCACCGTAAGGCAAGCTTGGCAACACGTTTCGTGTTTACGCCATCCCAGTACAGTCGTCCCCGCTTTAAAGGCACCATTTTAAAAGACACTCTCCGCTTTAAGGACACAAAAATCTCAGAAACATGGTGCCCCGCAGATGTGAAAAAGTAGGGGGGGTAGGGTTTTTCACCATTCGACCCCCTCCAGAAAATGTGCTGCAGCACCTGTAGATCCTGGATCATCAACAGCGGTCTGCTGCAGCCGCACACTGCGTGTGGGTGTATGGAAAGATTGATTCCATCTGCTAGGCCAGTCGTGCATAAATCTACGATTTCAGAGGGCGAGGTTCGCTCTCGTCTCGAAGATGTCCGCTCTTACTTGTACACACATGGAAGAGACGGCGAGTCAGCGAAACGGCGTACCTTGGTTCGAAGACTAAAACCTTGTGCATTCGTTTATTCATGAAACTCAGATCAAGCGAAGAGCAAAGGAGGGGGGGAGGTGCAGGCGACTCTTCGGGATATATGTGGCGGGTGTAGTTTTTGGTTTCGAGAGCAAATCACTTTTATTGCCAACGTTCGTTGTTTGCCTTGGGTGAAGTCTCGTGAGGTTGAATTTGGCGTTTGTGTTGTGTTGTGCCTCGTTTTGACCTTTTGGGAGGCGCGGTGTCCTCTTTGTCGCTGTGCTTTCCCGACATTTTTGGTCTCTGTGTTTCTGCGTAACCTACGTTTTCCTAGTGTCGTTTTACAACCTTCGATATTTCTCAGGTGCGGTAGCGAGATCTTGGGCAAGATATTCACGGGGAGGACAACGCCTAAAAAATAAAATAAAGCATATAATTAAGCCCATATCAACACCAGCGCACTACCGTCGTGTACATGTACGATGCGTAGGTCGTAGAACACCATCGCTTTCAGCGTTTTGGTGGTACAGCAAGGGAAAATTCAAACGATGGTATGCAAGTATGTATTGCAGAAAAACAGCAGCAGTGGTTGCGACCTTCAAATCACCTTGTGTCGTAATTTTCAAACAACACCTCTTGTGGTCGCCTTTCTGCTGCGAATGCGCACCTTTTGACATATGTTTCGCCTTCATTGGCCCCGGGGATGGTGCGTTAGTGGCCCCGGAATTTTAAAGACACTTCCCCGCGTTTAAGACACTTTTGGGGGGGGGAAACGTGGTGCGCCTTTGAAGCGGGGTCGACTGTACATGCAGCAGTACGTCTTCGACAGTTATCTGAGGGTGGGTTTGATATTTTTAGATTTCCCGATTTCTGTGACGGTAAATCAAATGGGACAGGTCCCTTTTCCGAACGTTGCTTTCTGCGCTTACGTCTCCGCCGTTGGTTCGACCATGGCATTGGATGACCCATGCAGCGCGCAAATATGTTCTTGGGATTGCTTCAGAGCAGTGTCGCACAATGCACAAGCTCTCGTGTGTGCGATACGATTGTGAGGAGCTGGTGGGGGCAGCAGACTCTGATCATTGCATGAGGTTCGTACTGGGCGTACACATTCGCGCTTTTAGGTGACCACGCTAACTGGCTGATTTCAGGAGCATCGCCACAGAAAAAGGGAAGGAGGGGGTGATGACGAGGCTAGGGCCATCAGAGCCCCCTGGGAAAACCACAACAACCCAGCACTACATGTTAGTTTAGCAACTTCTGCCTGCCCCAGAGCCCGTCGTAACGAGGGGGCCTGATAAACAGCAGCAGAGAGCACACACCTCTGCATCAAGAATGACAGACGATCGCACCATTGAGATCATTCCTTTCGATAAACGTATACACTCTGCCCCGGGCATTCTACAGATACACAGCCAATGTTGGATGTTCACTTAACCCACCTGGGCAACGGCGGCGGACGATGTAGATCTCTGCGCCAAGCAGCTGCTGCCCCTCTCTCCGTTGTTTTTGATTCCACAAGACGGTTGTACGGACACGACTTCCCCGCTAATGCCCGGCCGATTGGATTCGCCACCGCGTTGGCGGTTTGCCTCACTCGCCTCATGGTCCCAGGGGCGCTCTGCAACACACCGCCGCTGGCAATGCTGTGTGTACTCCTGTTGCTCTGAATGGCGTACTGCTGTAGGGCCGACTTTCGGGGGCCCAGGGGTTCCGTGGTTAATGACACCCACACAATTGAAGTGAAATATCTGCGAAGCCCCCAGGAATGGTCGACGGTCGACTAGGCGACGGTCGACCCCACTTTCGACTTCACCAGCCCCCTTGCGCGCCGATTCCCCTCGAGTCCCTCCAGCGGCTGTTTGTATTGACTGAGAGATAGAACCTTCATCAGAGGTGAGTTTGGTTGTGAGTTGCCTGCTGCACGACTCCCCGCCCCCTCCTCCTCTCCAGATCAACGCGTCGAACCTGTACATGTGTCCAAACTTCCTAGCTTTGAGAATCATTTTGTTCGTCGTGTCCTACAATAGACGCGTTGCATACCACCAGCTCGCGATCATCGCTGTGGGTTCACCAATTGGATCCCCCCTTCCTCCTCCTTCCGTTCAAAATGCGTCCCGGATGTCTGTCTGTTCAACGGCACTAGCAACAGGTGCGGAGGAACAACAGCGTCCCTTCTGTTCGATTCTACACAATCAATACTCCAAGATGGAACAAACCACGACATCAGATCCTGTGCGGTCTGGAGGAGAACAACAGGTGACGCCATCAACCCCTCCCACCGTCGCTGGGCTGGACGCGGCGGAATACGCCAGCGATCCGGAAAGCGCTGGGGTGGGCGGCCGAAGAGTCCGGCGACTCGGTCTGCCAGGGAAGATGCGCGTTGGGAAGCGGGGGCGGGGAACCACAGCAGCGTCAACTACATCAGCGTCAACTACGGCGGGCGTGGTCGGGCATATCGACGATACTGCTGCACCAGGTGCGCAGCCGGATGAACGGCCGCTTGCTTGCATTTTGGTGGCAATAGTCTGCTCTTACCGGTAGCGGAAGCATGGAGGGACTTACCTCTTGTCCATTCGGGGAACGGAGCGAGTCGTTTTTCGCGTCTTGCTCTCGGAACCGTTTTTTGGGCCGTTGTTCTAACAGCATGGTTTTCGGTCGGTTATTGATTGTCCCAGGTGTTCCTTTGAATGTTGAAGGATTGAAGGAATCAAGCTCACCTCCTGCTGATATCTAACAAAAGAAATAGCAGTAGAACACACACGCCAGCCTTTGCACCACATCGGAGCACACAGACTGTTTTTATAGCCGCAAACAAGATGCAACACCGCTTTTCAACGGCAAACAGTCAACCACGGAGAATTCGCAGTTCCCGTCTCAATGGAGTGTTCTTAAAGGATTCGCGTAATATGCGTATATACGGTATGCATCACTGAGCTGCTGCATGGCAGATAAGAGAAGATACTTACCGACGGCCAGCCTTCTTCGCGGAGGCATTTGGCGTACAGCAAGGAATTCACCATGTTAGTGGGTAGCTGTTGATTGTTGTGGGCCGAGACGCTTGGCGTTTTCGTGGAGATGTAGGGAGTGCTATACCGCCGGTTAGGAGCATTTCGATATGCAAGTGACTATTAGCCCGATCGGTCACCGGGGCCAGATCTGTGTGTTTCCCGTCTACGTGAACACTTGGTTCTCCATGCAGCTTTGAAGAAAGCGAGTGCACTGCCGCTTTGAAACGGGGGCACTGCTTGTTGTTCCTTCTTCGCAAGACAAGGCCACCTCGCACGCAACGTTACGGAGACAACCGTTGCATCTAGCTTTAGTACCTCTGTGTTCGAGGGGTTGCCCAACATGTGAAGTACACAACAGTGGTGGCCTGGGCACTACTATTCAAAGTCTAAAAACCTGACACCTCAGGCAATGAGAACTACCTTTCCACAGCCCTCCTTGATCACGTTCGACGCATCGGCCATTCGTAGCATAACCGTTGTATTAATAGTACAATGTAGTACTTAGAAGGGTGTACTTTCACGAGGGCGAAAGTGGTCCTTCCTCCACACGTAGGTTTAGGGTTTCACACTCACTCGAAGAGCAGACCGGAAACCGGCGTGCCGAAGATGTCCTCGACGAATGTCGCTTGAATCATCTATCCCGCGACTTCCCCCATCGCATTTCAGACTACGTATTTTTCTAAAAGGATGCGATGGTTTTTCCTCGATCTTACATGTTGGCAGAGCTCGTCAGATGAGCCGCACACCCAAGGTGATAGAGAGCAAGGGTAGTCTAAAGCATGCTTGCATACGCGAGCAAGGAGCTAGGAGGGTCTCCGAAGCATACCGCGATGTTGCCCAGAGATGCTCTTCTCTCCTAGTGGACGCAGGTCTTGCTGGCTGTGCCTGTTATGTTCTCCCGCCCTCGTCATGAAGTGTTGAATCCCCAGCGCGGTCATCCTTAACACCGCACCGGGCGGCACTACGACTACACAGTCCCGCCACACCCAACATCACCCCTCAATGAACACCTCCTGTTTCCCCGCAAGCTGGGTTCGCTTTCGCTGATGACTGTAGTCCCGTGTTCCATCCTACAAGTACGGCGTTTTTCTCTGCTGGTTTGTCACCGGGGTGCTCAATTGGTAGATAGTGGTGTCGGTGCAGCGACGGCAGCAGCGGCAGCGGCAGCAACAGCAGCGGGTCCGGATGGAAGAGGCGTAGGGGGAGCGAGACGGCCATCGGCCGGAAGCAGATTAGGGGCGATGCTCAGGAGGGGTGCGCCCAGCTTGAACCACCTCCGCAGGTGTGTCGGGTGCCGTGTAAGCTTGGCGGACGTCTTTTGAGAGAACAGTCGACCGTATTTTTTTCCCCGTGAATGTGCACAGGTTTCGAAAGTTGTGCCCGTTCTCCCTTGCCGTGTACCACGTACTTTTTTTTTTTCCTTCCTTCCCGCAGGAACGGTTCGAAAGCGAGCTCTCTTTCTTCGCCCCCGGCGGAAGAAATCGGAGACCTTGCCATACCGGCGCTTGGAATATCCCCCCACGGGGAGCTGGACGACCCCCCCGAACGCCACTCCAGTCACGACGGCGACCGCAGGAGGGGGGCTGCGGTTGCCCCCGAAGTCAGCACAGTGTCGTCGTTAGAGCCTAGCTTCAACACTTCTGGTCGACGTCGATTTCATCGGAGTAAGGGCGCGCCCGGCGTAGTCAACCGAGTCGTGTCCCATCGGGATGCCCGCGCGGGGAGCGACATCGGCCCCCGCGGCGGCGGCGGCGGCGGTGGTGGTGGTATCGCGAACGATCAGCAGAGATACCTGGGTGCGTCTCCTGCGGAAGACGCGCTCGAGTACAGCGACGGAGGGCGACACGGTGGCGGCGGAGGAGGAGGCGTGTTCACCGCGGCGAGGTCCAACGCCAGGGTGCCCTCGTTGCTCGCCCGAAAGAGCAGCAGCAAGACTTTGGCGGCGTCGGCGCAGAGGCGTGGCGACTGCGACGAGCAGGTGGCGTTTTGGTCGGGCTCCGACCTCGACAGCAGCGGCGGCAACAACCGGGGACGGCGGCCACCACCGGCGGCGGCGGCGGCGGCGGCGTCGTCGCGGCCTGACAACGCCGCTGCTTTGAGGCGCGATCGCTCGGCCCCGCCTTGCGGCCGCAGCGCGGCCGAGGTCGCCGGGGAACGGCGTGGTATTCAGCAGAGCATGAGTGGGGCATGCCGCACGCTAGACGGTTCTGCGAGGCCAAGGAACGGTCCTCCCGGGCGGTGGAAGCGCAACGGCGATGCCCGAGGTCGCGCCGCGGACGGGTACAAGTCCGCCCCCGATGACTTGCACCGGGAGAGCGGGCGTGTCGGCGCCGCCGCCGCCGCCACCGCTGGCGGTGGCGGCGTGCCCGTGCCGGACGACGAGTGCATCGCGATCGCGGAAGCGGCCTTGTTCTCGGCCATGGGCACCACCAGCGAAGCAGAGGTTGGTGCCGGCGGCGGAGGTGCCGGGCGGGGCGTTGGTAGCAGCAGCCAGGGGCAAGGGTCGATGGCGTCCAGCGACGAAGACGACGACGAAGAGGAAGAAGTGGACGACCCGCTCTCGTCACGCGGCACCACCACCGCCGACGCCGCCACGGTGGAAGGCTCGGCGACGGCGTCCGCTGCAGCGGGGGGCGGCAAGGCAGCTACCGTCCGCAAGCGCCGGAGAATCTCGGAGCTGCTGGGGTTCCGCCGACGGACTACCAGCGGCGTCAACGCCTCTTCCTCCCTCTCCTCGTCGTTATCGGAAGCCCCAGGGGTTAGCGCTTCTGGCGCCCCGGACGACGGCGCCGGCGCCGGCGATGGCGGCAGCGTCCCCCGCAACGGCGAGACAACGGAAGCGTTGAACAGATCCGCGGGCGGACGAGGGACATCAGCCTCCCGGCGCGGGACGACTTCGACGACCGCCCCCCCCCCCCCCCCCCCCCCCCCCCCCCCCCCCCCCCCCCCC